TCTTCTCCTCCTGAAACAGCCCTCAGTCCCCATCTTCTCCTCCTGAAACAGCCCTCAGTCCCCATCTTCTCCTCCTGAAACAGCCCTCAGTCCCCATCTTCTCCTCCTGAGCCACACCAGTGAGGCTGGACCCTGTTAAACATCCTGCAGGCAACTTGATGGGACAAACCCATCACCGAGAGACCCATCCCTCTGCTCGGTCCTCGTGTCCCCAGGACAGGGGTCAACATGAAACCACCTCATGGATGAATCCTCCTGCCAAGGTCATGCCGAGCGAGTCCCGAGTGAGCTAGTGGCCCTTCAGGACAAATCTGGAGACTGGAGCCTGTCCCCCAGGGTGTTTCATGTTCAACTGGCTCGTGAAAGGTGCCTTTTTTTGGGCAATATCCCGGGCAGAGGGATTCAGGTGGTGCAGGAAGGGGCTGCCCACGGGCACAGCTGCCTCTCACGGTGCTGGTGGGCAATAGAAGCCAGGGCACCACATCGCGTGACCCGCTTTGGCCGTACCTACCCGGTGGAAAATTCCTGCCCATGGGCAACGTCCTTCTGCCTTTATTTTTAAGCAGTTGGCTAAGGACGCAGCTAACGCACAGAGATAATAAGTGCTGACAGGAGCCTGGCTGCTAATTGGGTTTTTGCCTGGGTTTATATGATATTTGTAATTAAAGGAAGGTAGGAGCAGGGTTTGGAGGGGACAGAAGCACACAGATGTGATGGGGGAGACTGAGCTTGCAGAGGGGCTGGGGCTCTCTGAGGAGGACACAGGAAGGGATGCATACACTAAAAGTCATCATCAAGATTACTCATACCCATGGCATCAGCATGGGTTCCCTCTCGAGTTGTCGGTGTGCCAGGGAGGCTGGGGACAGGGTTTTCTTACCTGTGGGATGGGGATCCAGACCCTGCACGGCTTCAGAGTTGATGCATCCCCATGTGGCAACAGGGCTGAGGATTATGAGAGCTCACCTTGAATTTCGGGGTGCTCATGGCATTTCCCTGCAGTCCTGCAGAGGGTCTCTGCTCTTCCTTTTTACAGCCTTCCCTTTCTCTTTTCCCCTTATTTTTATGCAGCAGTACTTGCCACCCACGTTCCCAGAGCCCACCCAATTGGGGAGGATGCCGTACTGATCCTTTGCAAACCCAACCATTTATTTCCACAGCATTTTTCTCACAAATTGAATTTTCCACTGAGTAGCAAAGGTGCTTTGTTTGGCTCTTTGTTTACAAGGGAAAAATTCACACCAGGAAAAAAACCAAGTAGGTGTAGGCTAACTTTCAACTTGAAGCTATTTCACTTACCATGAAGGAATGGTGCAGGTGTCTCTAGTCAAACATGTGTATGAGTCTGTGCAAGATTAGATCTTGTAGTTTGTCTTCCTGAATGTGTAAATATATCCAGGGGAAACCTTTGCCCTGGCAGTAACTCAGGGTAGTTTCCAGTCTATCTCAGAAAGAAAACTTGAATAAAAATAGAAAAATTTAGACACACAAAACCCTCCAAAAGAAGTAAACAATCTGTCTTAAACCAAATCAGAGAACAAGTAATGTCATGAGCCCTATGGAGATGCTGGACATCTGAAATCTCATGCTGGAAGACATTACATGAATGAGAGTAATACAGGTGGGGCACCAGGTAAAGCCTAGCTGTGGGTGGGTGGTGCTGCTCCAAAAAGGGAGGGAGAATAAATGTTTTATACCGGGACGTAAAGCCAGGGCTGTCCTCCTGACCATGGAGCAGCTTATTTCTTGATGCTAGCTATGCAATCCCTGTCCAGAAGGGCTCACATCTTCACTGAGCGCTTTGAGCTGGCATCTGCAAGCACTCACCTCCCTCTGCCCTGCGCCGTTGGGATCGGAGGCACCCAGGGGCTCAGGGAAGGGGCTGTGCAAGCAAACTAGCAGCGAGCTGTGTCCTCTGCATGCCCACGAGCACGGAGGCTGAAGGAGGTGGATCTCAAACCAGCAGCACAGTTGACCTGGGCCAACATTTTCCGTTTCTCAGGGGTGTCGCTGGGATGTTAACAGGGATGCAGAAGAGGCTGGCTGGGAGAAATCCAAGTGGCTGCTTTTCCCAGGCTCCCCAGAAGTGATGTATCTGCCCACTCCCAGCCCTTCTGCTCAGCTGGGGTGCCAGCAAGAAAAAGATCCCCAGCAAAAAGATCCCCAGCGAAGCGTTATTGCCAAGAGGCATGTGGCACCCCGAGGCACCCTGCCATCTCACCGACTCAGCTGGCCCAAATGTGAAAAAAAAAACAGAGATGGGACCTACCGACCCAGCAACTGCCACCCCAAAATCTGTTGTCCGGGAGAAGACGTGTTGGTAGAGCTGCAGAAACAGCCTGAACTCTGTCCAAGTCAATGCCTTCAGGTGCTGCGCAGGGAAGATTTCCAGGCTGAGTTTCTGGGTAGCACAGTGCAGTGTCAGAGGTGTGTGGTGTGTCCGTGCACAGCCCAGGGGAGGGGGGAGAATCTTCCTCCTCTTCCTCCATCCCCATCTGCCAGATGGTGTTGCAGCATCGTTTGCCGCACAACGCCCAGTGCCCTGGGTCTGGAGGCTGCTGTCCTTGCGCCTGGGTTTGCAAGTGATGCTCTGGGTTTGCAATGGATGGCCACCCTGTTTCCTTGCATGGGTAAAGGGGTCGTATACCACTTAGAGAGCCTGGGCTCCTGGACTTTATTCATCCCAGAATGTGTGGCTGGGGCTCTGGTGTCAGCTGAGCAGCCTGATGGCACGGGAAAGCCAGGATTTAACCATCCCATGGGAAGTTTGGAGACCTCCAGCTTCTCCAGCAGGGCCACCACCTCTGCTTTAAATTAAGAGGTGGAAAAGTTAAACAGGGTTAAGAGGAGGGGAAGAAGAATAAAAAAAGAGATGGGAGCCAGTCCTGTACTGGGAACGGGAGGTGTGTGGCCGGAGGAAGAGGAGGAGAGCGAGGAAGGGGGTGGCTGCTCCCTGCCAGTCGCTTGGGTAATATCGGCAGCAGTCACGTGCAGAGATCTGCTTTTGGCATAGCCTGCGTGTTTGTGTGGTGCAGGGAAGGGGTGTGAAATCAGCTCCTGCTTCCAGGAATCCTCCCAGCACAGGATATGCGGCGGGGAGCTGGTAAACATGATACAACCGCTGGCCTGTAACTCAATCGGCTCCGTGCATTAGCTGCTCCCTGCCTGGGGACCTTGCTTGTCTGATGGCTTCTTGGGGTGTCAGGGCATGGGACAGTGTGTCCCAGGGCACGGGACATTGCCAGTGGGGGGTTCCGAGTGATGGAAAGGGTGGGGGGAGCTTCTGCTGAGAGTCGGGGGCCAGGGCAGCTTCTCCAGCTCAGGGTGGGGTGGATATTCCTCGGGTGCAGCCCTGGTCCAGCTGCTGCTTGCAAACCCTCCCTGGCCTCAGCCACAGGCTCCTAAAGTCAGAAATAGCCACTTGGCCGAGGAGAAAACATCTCCCCTGACCTCCCCTTCCCCACCTCCCCATCCCACTGCCGGCAGGAGCTGTGGATAAGAGCCTGAACCCATTCACAGATAACACCCACTCTCCTGTGCCGGCTGCCAGCTCGCCTCGAGCGGCATCTGAGCTGCCTGCTCACAGAAATACATCTCACTCGGGCTTTTTGCCCTCCCTCCCTCCTTTCCCTGTTGCTCGGGAGAGCTTGTTTATTGTTGGGCACAGGGAAACCGTGACCTCCAGTGCCTGCTGTCCCCTTCGGCTCCCCGTCCCTGGGAGCGGTGTGTGCTGGCGTGCCAGCTGGGGACATGCGAAGGGACACCCGCCGCTGTGTGGGGGGAAGGCAGGACAGAGCGCCTGGGTCCTGATTTCACTGTGTCCCCGGATGCAAAGGGAAGGGGGTGGGAAGGGGATTTCACAATCACAAGTTATATTATTAGACCAGCGTCAGGCTTAGGGATGGCTTCTGCTAACAGCCTTGACACAGGGACTGAGTACTGAATGAGCCCAAGCATGAGACCTGGGGAGGTCGGAATGGGGGGTGAAATTAGTTAATAAGGAGCTTAAAGCCACCCAGGTGATGATGGGGGACGAAAAGCTCCTGCTGCCACTTTGGGTCTTGTCTGAAGAGGCAGAGGAGGAGATGTCTGGAGGCAAGGACACCAGGAGGGTGAGATGTTCTCGGAAGGTGGGGACAGGTTTCCCATCGCACGGAGGACCGCCACGCACCCTGTGCCCAGCCTGCCCTGCCTGCAGCAGGTGGATTTGGATGAGAGGGGTGGTGGGGTGCTCAGAGGGGTGGGAGAGCCTGAGGGAGATAGGAAGAGCTTGGCTGGTCTGGCTTAGCAAATCAGGGAGCATGAGGGGGACACATAGAGAGTACCCCCTCCCCACCCCATGCCCAGGTCTTCAGCAAATTGGCCTCAATTCATTTCTAAATATATTCTTCAGCTGAGACGGGGGAAGAACAGGATCTGGCCTTTTTTTTAGCCCTCCATTTAATTTCTTTCACAAAGAAGGCCAAGGGAGGCAGGACCTGGCCGAGCAGCCCTCTGCGGGAAATGGGGTGGGTTTTGTGCTGCCCGCCAGTTTATTTGTATTTTTAGAGCATGCTGCAGGCACAAGGTCACCGAAGTGAGTGAAATTCCACTCCGGAGTGGTTCCCTGTCCCTGTCCCACTCCTCGGGGTTGGGCTGGAGTCAACAGCTGATCCGGGGCTCAAGTGTCGTGGCCGCAGCGGTGCCTGGCTGAGGCGGGGGGCTCAGGGCAGCTGGGTGGGTGGGTGGGTGCCGGGTCTCCAGATGGAAGAGCTGGGGGCCAGCAAGGCAGTGGGCAGACAGCCCTCTTACTCTTATCACTCCTAGAAGAGCCCGTGGGGAGTGAGGGTCTGGCGGTGCCACGCTGGAGACCCCGTCCCGGGGTGGCACAGGGTGTCCGAGGGCTCTCGGTACAAGTGATCTCAGCGGAGGATTTGTTTGGCAGGAGGCTGGGCACCCTGCCCCGAGGGAGCTGGGGGTGTGTTGATGCTGAGATGAGACTGGACAAACTGGGGAGGGGTGGAGAGATTGGCTATGTCAAGGAGGAGGCCAGGGTGTACCATGCTTGCTTAATGGAGTGATGAGTTGGCAATGTGGTGAGTCAAAAGCTGAGGGGGGGGGGGGGGGGGGGGGGGGGCGGGGAAAAACATAGCAAAGGGGAATGTGTCAGGGCTTAAAATGGCACAGCACATCTCCTTGAGAACACACTTCGGGTCTCTTCATCATCTCCAGCAACAAGTGAAGCATCTCGCTAGGGCTTGGGCTCGACAGTGAGTGAGTCAGGCGGGCGGGAGTCCCACCTCGTGAATCACGGCTGGCAGCGCTGCCGGACACAGCCTCGGTGCTGGGAGCTCCCACTTCCCAGGGGTTACGGAGTCACAGCCCCTGTTAGGTGGTTGCGGGGGGAAAATCATCGCTGTATGAGCTAAACCTGAAATAAAGAGAGAAACTGGCCCCCGGGATGCTGACCCAACCGGAAAGTGTAGCAAGGGATGCTGCCGGGAAGAGAAGTAAGTCTCAGATCCTTGCTTTAAGGCAAGCAATTTGCCTAGCAATTAGGAAAAGCAAGATGTTCTGAGAGTCGTTGTTTGAGAGCTGTTCCTTGCGTGAAACATCTTCCTCTGCTATTTCTCATGATCTTCTAGGAGATGGTTTTCTGTGCTTGAGCTACCCAAATGCTTGGTATCACCTGGTTCAGGTGGCCCGAGTGCCCAGCGGTGATCACATATGCAGGGGCCACTTTGTGGGCTTGCACCAGGGAATAATATACCCTGTTACGCATGCTCTGTGCTTTCATTAGCCTGCGCCTCCAACCCCTGCTTTGATCTCAGACTTGGGGCCTGGGATGGCTTTTTCTGAGCCATCCTGCCCTGGTGTGGTGGCGCAGGATGATGAGATGGGGAGAGGATGGCTGGCTCTGCAGGGCAGTAGGGTGGGCAGGGGGTGCCCCGTGGGCATGCTGAGTCCTTTCTGCCTGTCCGTGGGCTCCCCTCCACCCTGTGCCCACACCACACCTCCAGCATACCACAGTTTTGATGTGATTTTTTCCCTCTAATACACGACCCAGTGCCTGCCTGCACCTCCTGGGTGTCATACTGCCAGGCTGTGGCTCTGCTCTGGGGCACCCCCTCTGTTGTTTTGTTTGTTTTGTTTTTTTCCAGGCCTTGTTCTCAAAGATTCATCCCCTTTTCTTCCAAAGCAGGCTGTTTCCCCTAATAGCAAGCTCCCAGCCACCAGCAGCTGAAGGCTCAGTTGCTTTGCCTTATGCACAAAACTTTCCATTTGTGCTTTTCATCTTTCCAGCCAAGGGAAGCGCCTGCTTTCCCCAGCCTCTAGCCTGCAGAAGCGTGCGGGAAACGTCTGCCCTCCTGTGTTCAAAGTCCCCTCCAAAGAGAAGCCAAGGGTGCACTGACCTCACAGAGTAAATATTTTCCATGACATCTCCTTCCGACATCTCCTTCTGGGCTCTGTACCTATAGTTGACACAGCTCTGGGTTTGCAGCCAGCCTGCCTGAGCTCTGCTGGTGCGGGGAACGGGGCTGGATTCTGCCCTCTCCTCACCTCCCAACGTGTCCCCATGTAATGCTGCTGTCTGAAGGTTTCAGTGACCTTCTGGACCCCTCTCCCGGGACTCCACTGGCAAACGAGGCGTCTTGTGGGCCAGTGCTGCTCCTCGTAGACACCGAATCCTGCCAGCTTGTTGTGATGGTTCCTCCAACATCTCCCCTCCCCTGCTCGCAGCTATCACACGCTTGTGGCTATGGGCTGCTGCCAAACCAGCTGGGATGCTGGAGGCAGCAGCCTTAGAGCAGGCACAAAGCATCCGTGGGCCAGAGGTGGGACGCAGGGAGGTTGATTTGAAGCGGGAGCAACTTGTCACCAGGCAAAGGAGGGGACACTTATTGGCTCCATATCCTTGCTGCTCACCCAGCTGAATGAGGAGGGACAGATGATCCAGACTCTTACTTCTCCTGCTGCCCTTACAGACTTTTTCCCCTGACAGCGCTCTTCTCAAGGGGACAGTCACGTCTGGCGCTGATCCCCGGTGGGTCTCAGCAGCTCGATTTACAACACAGGTACTGTGGAGCCCAGGGCTTTTCGTGGTTGAAGTCTATTTTATTTGCAACCACAAAAAGCCTGTGGCTTTCCCCCACCACTGGTTTTCCAGGAGGAGATGTTGTGCTCATTCTCCTCCTGGGGCTTTTCAAACCACGTGCTGGTTCCCAGCATGGTCTCCTGAGAGACACCGGGGCATTTCATACCGCTGTGTATAGGATTGGATCCCTTAGGAATGGATCCCTATCACTCTCCCCCCCCCATCCTGTGGAACAGGGAGCAAACACAACACACGGCCAGAAACCACGCCAAGCATGTGGCACACACCAGGAGGTGTCAAAAGATGCTGGCATCGGCCTCACAGGCAGCCCTGTGCCTTCCGCGTTGGCCGTGTAGGGAAAATTACCCGAGCAATTTGCTGTGGGCGTTTCAGAGTCCTTTATTTCTAGGGCCAGGACTCACCTACATCAAAAGTGCCTCTGCAGGCCAGGCAAGGAGACCAGCTATGCCCTTCCTCCTGGTAGCTACTCCCCAGTTTGTATAAGAGATACCAATGTTTCCCAGTTCTTTTGCATGGGAGAAGTGTTGTTCTTATCTACAGGATTATTAGAGCTAGAGAGAAAATTAATATTAAACATCTATTAACCTAGGTGTTTTTAGAAGTTCATTTTTGGCTTGTTAGCAAGATTTTTTTTTTTTAACAGATTTCTTGTTGGCAGCCAGGGAAGCATTTCCTACTTGCTCCACAGCTTGCCTGGTGGTAGCTTTACGGGAACGCTTTAGGATGCAGTGGAGTGCTTGGCTGGCCCAGGGCTCGCCCAGCCTGTGACTTCCAGATATTGTCCTGCACCCGCTGCAGAGCAAGCGATGGCCCTCCTCCCTCCATCCTGTGCTCTTGAAGAAATGTGTCTGTGTACGTGTGTGATGCCCAGCACTCCCCTACGGCTGCAGGCATCAAACGCGCAGGCTGCTTTGGAGGAGCTGGAAAAGAGGGTGAGCTCATTTGCCCGTGCATAGGAGATGCACGAGTCACTAGCACATTCTTGCACCTATTTTTGTCTGCTCCTTGGAGGAGACATGTATGCTTGCTCTTAAGCAAGTGCTGTGCTCCTCTTTGCAAATACCAGGGCAGATTTTTGCTCCTGGGAGGACATGAAGGCTGCTACGGTGTCAAGGGAAATGGGAGTAGCTTGCCTGTTGGACATGGCAGGCTTTCAGGGGGGCATGTTGCAACATATGTTGGAGGTTGACACTTAGCTGGATGTATAAATCTTGGCTTTCCCGAGGCCTGGGTCTTCCCTAGGGCTGCTGCACTGTCTCCTCACATTTCTGGGGAGAGGAAGCTGCGGCTAACCTCGCCGCAAGCACAAATTAGTTGTGTTTTGTTGCTTTTTGGGTTGGGTTTTGTTGGTTGGTTTTTTGGTTTTTTTTTTTTGTTTTTTTTTTTTTTTTTTTTGTTTTTGGTTTTGTGTGTTCAGTTTGAACAATAAAACATCTGTTCCTGAGCCCAGCAGCTGGACCAAAATGAAATGACGTTAGCATCAATTATCCTCCGGGATGGGGAGGCTGACGGGAGAATGGTGCAGATTTCCTTAACACTGAATAACTAATGAGAACAACAGCTTGGCTAGGTGGCTCATGTTCCCGGAGAGTCTCCAAACAACCCGCCTGCTCGAGCCCTGGCACTGGGGCACCCACTGCTGCGCACCGCTGCTCCGGGAACCGAGCACCAGCTGTGGGCTGAAAGGGGGGAGATGCTTTTACAGCCATCAGAGAACAAGGCTCACTTTTGGTGGCGGGGCTAATGGGTACTGCAGTGGCAGAGATTTTTCTGAATGCACCAACCCAATACAAATACCCTGGTGCAAAGTTGAAGTGGGGGGGTTTTTTTTTTTGTTGTTGTTTTTTGGCTGGGGGGGTGTGCTGCAGAGCTGGAGGTGCACCCACCTCCTGTGGGGCAGCACAGAGAGCCCCAGCTGGGACATCATCTATGATGGGTGCCAGCAGCCAGCCTGGAGGAGAGCTGGTGTTCATGGAGGGATGGGATGATGCAGAATCACGTTCCCTGGGTACAGAAAGGGGCTATTAATGGGGAGAAAAAGGAAGCGGGGGGGAGGGGGGGGCAGAGATGGAGCACAATGGCTCTGATTTGTTGGCAGTCGCGACCTGCAGTCCCTGGCAGCACCTCAAAGCAGCTGTGAAGTGCCAGCCGGTGGCGATGCTTCGGCGCGTGATGCGGGCGCCTGACCCTGGCGCGGGGCTGGGACACGGAGCTGCCCGGTGCCGAGGGCACCGACCCGGCTTCTCCTCCCTGCCGCCCCGCAGAGGAAACCCACGCGCGCTTGTGACGGGCTCAGCGCTCCAGGGACACGGTGGCTTTGTTTTCCAGGGCTCGCCCCCCCCCCCCCCCCCCCAAACACCATCTGCCCTGCTAGCCGTGCCTCGGTAAATTTTACCCCTTACAGGACTCGCGTTGCCTTTCCACTCAAAGTTGGGTGAATGCAGCCACCTCTGTGGATGAGGTGGTGGCAGGCTCCAAGCCAACGATGGGCAGGCAGATAGCATGAATGTGCACACACAAGCACACAAAAATATCCTCCTGTCCCATCCTGAACAAGCTCACTAGAAGGAGTTTATTTCCTCACATCCCAGTAGCACAGAGAAAAAACATGACTGTGGGAAAACTCAAGAAAATTTTCAGGGAGTAGCATTTTTATGAGCGAGCTGCTTTATACCTACACAGCCAGATGCCTGAATAACTTAATGCAGGCTTCAGGAAATAATTTGAGCTGCTGTAATTTTGAAGCCTCCAAAATAGCTTTCCTGCTCCCCGAGGAGCTGTGAATTTTTAGGCCTGACAGCTTCCAGCACCCTGTGGGCGAGGTACAGCTGCTCATCGTAGATGAGACCCCCATGGGGCAGGGCTGGGGGAAAATGGGGCTTGTGGGGCTCACTAGCTCACGTGATGGTCATCATGTTTTGTTTTCTTTTTTTTTAGAAGGAAAGTGTGTGTTTGGGATGAGCAGAAGGGGAGAAGGAGCCTGTCTGAGAATAACAGCTTGCTCTGAAAACCCAACAGCATCGGGTACTCACTTTGTCTGGCTTCTTCCTCGAATGTCGTGGGTACCACCATGGGACAGCACGGCAGTGACGGGTGCGTGCCCCGGGCTCTGTTGCTGCACATCTGCACACCCGGCTGCACTTCAGCACCGCGACTCTCGTGGGAGCATCACCCACATCACCCAGCAACAAAACTGCTGAGAAAACCCCCTTGCTTGCTTGGCCAAGGCATTTTACTCTAATCCCTTATTGCCTTTGGCCTCCAGCCTCCATTAGATCAAGAAGCCACACCGGGATGGAAGTACCTCAGGTGTCACGTCCACTGTGCATCGCCGCTCTGCTCCGAGTCGGGGCTCTGTGGGTGCTCCTGCCCTGGCCTCACCTACCAGAAAATGGAGTCCAGTTGGGAAAATCCCCCAAATCCGCACTCAGAAGAGACTTGGCAGAATTAGAACCAAAAATAAAGGAAGCTTTGGTTTAAAAAATGAATAAATAAATAAATCACTTTGCCCCCACGCAGCTGAACTTAGCCCAGTATGTCTATTTTCTGTTATTTCATGTACTATACTTCAGCCTGTTTTCTCAAGCCTTACAAAAGTAAATGTGTCATCATTCTGTTTGCCTGTCCCTCCCCTTACTAACATGCTGAACTGGCCGATTTGGGGTGGGTCTGGCAAAGACATTAATTCCTCCCCAATATTTAGATCTTTCTGGCTATATGGAAATACGTGCCAGTGCTGGAGGTTGGGCTGATCTCTTGCAGAGAGAAAAAGGCTTGTTGGGTCCCTGTTTTCCCCAAAACTCCTGACTAGTGATAACCCTATCAGCAGGAGCATCGGGCAGCCAGGGAGGTGTCCCAGTTGGCACGTGGCAGCCTGGATGGGAAGGGGAGCGAGCTGGGATGCCCTGTGCAGGACGGGGGCAGACAATGGGTTTAATAATAAAAGCTTTTCCCCCTCCAAGGCTGGATTAGGGAAGAGTTCGTCAGCCAGACGCAAAACTTGGTAATCCCTTCGTGCCAGGGGGAGGAGGGCTGTGCTGAGAGCCCAGGGGGTGTGTGTGGGATGGGGCTGCCCTGACTCGGAGCATCTCTTCCCCCTCCCAGCCTGGCAGCAGAATCAGCCTGGAGAGACCCTCTGGTGCATTGGGATCTGGAGGGATGGAGCCGAGATAAAGGCTGAGGTTCCTGTACCCTGTCTGATTCTCCAGTGATCCATCCGAAGTTGCTCCCTTTCTTCTTCTGACCCAATTTGCAGCGGCCTGCTTTTCCCAACCTGCTTGGTAATCCTAGGTAATAGGAGGCAGATGCCTAAACATCTCTGGAGGAGCTGGACCTTAATCCCTACCTACATTGCTGGTGCTCTGGCTCCCTGTAAGCCGTCACACGTCTGCAAGGACTGAGCCTCCCGTGCATTACCCTCCCCTATCTAGGTCAAAACGTGCTCTGGGCGGTGTGGGGTGGTGGGGAACAGGGTTTTATGGTCACCAGGCAAGGAGCCAGTGGGGCAGGGCTGGGCTATGCAGCAGTCACCTATGGATCATCACCCAGAGGAGGCTTTGGAGAGCTGGATGGGACAGAAATTGCTGAACAAGATGCAGGGGGAGCACGAGGTGTGTGTATAAAGCAGCCACCTGCCTAGGAAAAGGAGGTGGGGTAGGGGAAAAAAGGGAAAAAGCAAGGCAGGGGCCATGTGCTGTCTGCCACATGGCATCTGAGACACTGGTGAGATGCTTCGTGTGGGCAGTGACCAGGCAAGGGATGCACGGCTTTGCTTTGTCCCGGTGGTTCTATTGTGTGGCTCTGGAGCCCTTCCTGCTGCTGGGGTAGAGCACAGTCTCAGGCTGGGGCTAAAAATGTCATAATAACATCTGCATCCCACCTCAGTGGGGGTTTTATGCTCTGCAGGGTTCCTATTCAGCCCTGCTCATCCAGAGGCTGCCTCCACCCCTGAGCCCAGGCTAAGCATCGCTATCTCGGGCATTTTTGGCAGGGCGTTGGGGCTGCTGGGGTTGGGAGATCTCCTCCCCCCGCCCCCCCTCACCCCATCATTTCAACACACCCCTCCACCTCTGGCTTGTTTGCACAGCTCAAAATGTTCCGAGCATTATCAGTGTTTGCACTTTTGCCACTGTTTGTGCTAGTTGCACTTTAAAGGCAATAAAGTCAAGCTTTGTTTGCTTACAAGGAAAATGCAATTTTTTCCCTCATTAGACGAACCAACGCTCGCCTTAAAACACAGCACCAACCACCCCTCTAAGCCCTGGGCCTGCTTGGGCTCGTGGGAACGGTGTTCCTGGAGGAAAAGGGGCTTTATGTGTGCAAACGCGCTGGGTTCATGCTGCGCATCACCCCCCAGCTCTGCCTCCCAGGCTTTACGCTTCATGGGGAGGGCTGAAGCCCCCACCTTTCCCCTTTCAGCTGGGGCCCCGAAGCTGGTGCCGAGGTACCCTGGGTCACGCAGCCCCGGGCAGGCCCTTTTCCAAGTGAACTGGCATTGCCCCTGGGCAAAGCTGCCTCACCCCGACTAAGTCCTGGGGTTTACGGGAGCCGGGTGCTGCTGATGACACGGGGTGATGCGTGTCCCACCGATGGGGGGGGGGGGACACCTGGCGTGTGCTGCCGACCCTGCACGCCGCCGCCGCCCCCCGCGTGCTGCCCCGACACGCTGTCCCTGTCCGGTGGGTTAAACATTAACGAGCCAGGGCCAGTGCAAGGCCAGATAAGTCTCAGGAGTGACTCAGGGAATGATGTTATTTCTGGAGAAAGCAGTGCTAAGAAGGTGCCCTCCTCCATGCCGCTCGGTGACTCTCTCCCATCCGGCTGCTCCTCCATCCCTGCTCACAGAAAGCCTTCCTCCATCCGCCTCCTCACCTCCCCGTTTGCCTTCTCCACCTCTTGCTCCTCACCTCCCCGTTTGCCTTCTCCACCTCTTGCTCCTCACCTCCCCGTTTGCCTTCTCCACCTCTTGCTCTGGTCGAGCAAGGGGTCGCTGAGCTGCTCAGCGCATCGCTCCGTGGGCAGGGGGGTAGTTCACGCACTGCCTAAGGATGACTTGGCTGAGGAGATGCTGCTGGTGTGTGTGTTAAGCCTCTTGGGGTGATGCCAGCTCCACTGCTGTCCCTGCTGACCGCCCCCCCCCCACCCCGAGCCCTTGGTACCACTCCAGCATCCTTTGTGACGGGGCAGAGCCCACTGCAAACCCTGCTCCCCACAACCCCCGGGGCTCAGTGGTTGGAGGGCAACCACAGCCGCCCGTTTTTCCTGGAAGGGCAACGCTTCTTGAAACCGATCCCTTGATTAACTTAAGGTATTTTCCCCACTCCACCGGGGTGCACGGTGCCTCTCGAAATAGCAGCTGCAATGGCTCAGCACCAGGAGCATGGTATAAACAAGGTACCTGCAGGCCCCCAGCTCTACAGGGACAGCTTGGGGCTGGAAGGAGCCAGAAAAGGCACAAACCGCACAGCTGTAAGTGGGGTTTAAGCTCACAAAAAAAAAAAAAAAAAAAAAGGAAGGGCTGTGGAAAAGGCAAAGCTCCCTGTGGGCTGGAAATAATGGCAGCAGCCAGGTCCTTGTCCCTCTCCTGGACACCAGCTCGCTGGCAGCCAGCCCTCTTTGGGAGATTTTCTGAATTTTGACCTATTCCCCTCCAAGAAATGCAGAATTAGCTGTTTGAGGGGTGGAGATCACACAGGACTGTTGGGCTGGAGAGGCTGGGGAGGCTAGTGACATCTGAGAGTGGGTTTAGGATGTGAGCCGTGCTCCTTGGAAAAGCAAGAAGGAAATGCAGGAACGGCGCCTGCAAACCAGGAGTGAAGCACAGGGAAGCCCTGAGGAAGAGCGGGGCACGTGGAGGAGCCCCACAAACTGCTTAGTGGGGACCAAAGTGGGGGATGAGATCCTGCGGCTGCGGGACGTGGCCACGGGGGTAGGATGGGACTGACCAAATCGCCGTAAGCCCTCTGGTGTCACTGAGCTAGGGCCAGCCCTTGCTTTCCTGCAGCAGTCAGTGGATTCCTGTGTGATGCCTGGTTTCGTACCCCAGGACCGAACTGGGGGTGTTTTCCTGCCCTGCTGCCCAGGGAGGAGAGTGTGCTGCTGGCACGGGGGTGCAGGGAGCCAGGGGCAGGTGACTGCTGTCCCACCACTCTTCGACCCTACGGCTGGTTTTGCCTGGTGTTTCATTTCTTTTTTGATGGCTGCTGGCGTTACTTATAACTGGAGCTAAACAAGTGTGCTTGACTTGGCTTTAAAGCTGTGTGCTGTGTGTACTGGGATGGCCATGAAAGTTTGGTCCAGGATCACTAGTGGGAAACGCTAGCTGGGACAGGGAAAGGCGCATCGCTTCGTGCGTCCCGATGCCTCCTTGGCAAGTAAGCACTGTCGCCGCCCTGAATTTCCCATTTTTTTTTCCATGGGGACCATTTTCCAGCCTGGGAACGAACGGCCACAGACTGCTGTGTTGTAAACTTCCAGCGGTGCTCTCCACCTCGGAGGGGATGGCCGGCGCAAAGCGGAGCCAGGCTGTGGCAAAGCCCGGCTACCTGCAAACCCAGCGCTGCAGCCCGTGGCCTCTCAGTCATGCTGGGGGTATTATTTGGCAAGCCAGGATGGATGTGACTCGCTCTGGGGAGGAGGCACCCGCTGCAGCTGTAATTCACAGGTCTGGGAAAGCAGCCCAGGACGTGCCTGGTGCTGCCTGCTCCCACCCAGTGTGGGCTGAGCCGTGCAGGTGGGCACAGGGTTCCTGGCACACCTTGGCACTTGGGGAGCTCATCCTTGCCCAGCACGGCCTCAGCTGCAGCTCCTATTTCCATCCTGCCCTCCCCTGAGCATCTCTCCTCCACCTCCTGCCGCCACCAACAGCTCTCTCCCGCTTGCAGGTCCTCCAGGCTCTGGCAGTGCTAATTTCCCTAAGAAACTGTGATGCCAACACATTGCAGGCACCACAGCATGGAGCAAGGTCGTGGGACTAATCCTGCCTTAGCCCAAACCCGCATGGGACTGTGGCATGAGGTGAGCTCGGGTAGGAGACACACTCCTGTCACTGCATTGAATCCCAAAGCCCGCGGGCAGGGAGCACGGGGTGACACTAACGGAGCCGCAGTGCTAATTACTACCTGTAATCCCAGGATTATGTTTTACTGCTCGTTATATCCCTCTTGCAGCTCCTAGCTCCATTCCCTACCCCAGGCCAAACCAGAGCACAGCAGGCCTTGGGATCCTCCTAATGAAGTGATTTTTTTTTTTTTTTTTCTTTTCTTTTCCATCTCATCTTTTAATGGAATTTAAAACACATGACATAGACACAGCTCAGCTCGTAGACCCACGTCTTTCTGCCTCCCAGTCTCCAAACACACCCAGTGTGTCCCTCAGGATTAGAGACCGAGCGGCGAGCCCAAGGGGACAACTGCCACCGAGCTCACACTGGACCCCCCCAGTGTCACTGCCCGGGATGGGTATAATGAAAGGGTCCGTTTTGGGGTGCACCTTGAGCCCCGCTCATCCCAGATGGAGCAGCTGTCTGC